AGGTAAAACAAACAAGCCTTAATAAAAACTGGGCTCGTTACTTGGTAGCTAAATTTAAAGACACACCTGTTGCATACGCAATGTTCCGGTTCGATATGGACTATGGAAATAGTGTAATATATTGGTAAAAATGATATAAATCAAGCGAAAAACTCCGTTTATTAATATTATTGTTTCAGTTATGAAATGCAAATTGAAACTGCTTATAGAAGAAAGGGGCTAGGAAAATTTATGATGGAGACATTAGAGAATTGTGCTAAACACTGGCAATTGGAAAAAGTAATATTAACCGTATTGAACAACAATATTAATGCGATGTCTTTCTTTAAAACAATTGGATACATTCTAGATGACTCTTCACCAGACGTATTGGAAAAAGCGGAATATAAAATATTAAGCAAATGCACTTTGTAATTTATAAGAATATTTATTTGAGAAGTAAAATTTCTATGAAATTTGTAATATATAATTTTAAATAAAGTTTTTAGATTGTTCTTCCATATAGTTAGCAACCTTAATGTCTTTCAGACTTAATCCGCCCACGTCATGTGTGGACATAGTTATTTGAACTTTGTTGTAAACGTTAAACCATTCTGGGTGGTGATTTAATTTTTCTGCAAGCAAAGCTACGCCTGACATGAAACTAAAAGCCTGATTAAAGTCCTTAAAAAGATATTCCTTGTATATAGCATCCCGTCCATTTACAAGTGACCAGCCTGCGTTTATTAATGGTTGTAAAAGCTCAATGCGTTCTGACTCCGATAGTTTAGCCTAAAAAGTGAAAATGTTATGGGTTTATACTCAAACAAATTTGTTGTCCTACCATTTTAAATTGTTAAAATAATATAATCACGTCTTATACTGTATATCAATCTGTATACCAATGTGCGAATCAAATACTTTCAATTTTAAAGCTCAATTACAAACAAGTTTTCTGATTCACTTATCATTGCGATTAAACCTTTGCCATGAAAATAAATATTAAAGCGATAAGTTGTGCTCACAAATAAGTCTACCTTAAATATGTGTATGTACATAAATATGTACTTAGTTTTTATATACAAATGAATGCTTTCTGCTCACTTCAAATTTGCTCTAATTCTTTTTAAAAAAAATATATTATGTTAAGAATTTTTTATTAATATACCATTTTTTTCTTCACCGATTGCGTAGCTCCGACTTGCGCTGTGAACGGCCTGATTGCAAAAGCTCTCTTTGCAAAGCTAAACGTAAACAATTTTTTTCAAAACCAGATTAGTGTATAGGTATGTACGTTTGCAGCTCACCCGTCTCTCTCAAGCATCTTGCTGCCGTGACTCAAGTCACCAAATTGCTTGAGTATATTATATGCAAATTTAAAATTTTTGTGAGTTATATTAGTTAACATTTCTAATATTACTGATCAAGTTTTTAAATAGTTTCTGTTCACACACTTATATTTTTAAAACTGCACAGCTGTTCTACAAGCAAAGAATAAGTGCATGGACACAAAAACTTACTATTCAGTTCAATGTCATAAACTTTAAACTTTATTATGTTTACATATATTCCAATAAAAGTTATATCTAAAATATCTTGTTATGATGAAATTTATATTGTTCAAATCTATTTGTTATCTAACTCCTCCGTTTCACCATTTCCGTAGTAATCATAATCAGTTGTGGTACGAAAAATTTTTTGTTGAAGCTTAATAGGTACTTCTGTGGATAATTCCATATCTGGTTTAATCGTAGATGCAGTTTCATCATTTTTATTATTTGATTCATTAGCTACCTTAAAACGTAAACGAAGACTGTAACGGCTGCGCACGAATGGTTGTAATGTTGAAAATGCTTGACACCCTTGTTATACATCAAAATATAGTAATTACATTTACATAAAAAATATCGCTCACCTGTCACAAGAAGCAATCCTAAGGTGATTAGAACTATTTTTATATTCATTTTAAAGAAATCCCGTTCAATTGGCTAAATCATACATCAAGACTACACATTACTGGGTTTTTATATAAAATTGTGAATACCTTTATATAGATTTGCATATTTAAATTTTGCACTATTCTTTGATGGGCGTACATATTAAAAATAAACATTGTATAAAACTGAAAGTAAATTATGCATTTATCATGCTGCGTTCATATGCAAAAAAATATAGAGATAATATTCTTATGGGATAAATAAATAATTTTAAAAATACACTCGCATATTCAATTGACAATTTAAAAGTCATTGCACTTTATCATAAAATTTCGTTGGATTTTCAAAATATTCCTATATATTTTCCAAATTTATTGCGATCAAATAATTTGTGAACCTTTTTTAATAACATTGCTATATATATGTATTGAGTAAAGCAGGCAATTATTTTAATTATATTGTGTATATATGTATGGATGATGAGTACGCAATTACTGAATAGGAATTGTGGTTTATTCGTTACTCTGCTTATATTTTATTCATCACTAGTACTGACGAATAACAACAACTCATGAAGACGAAATTGGTGTAAAATTTATAAAAATAAAAGGAAAATTTATTTCTAATCGTTGAGTTCGGTTTAATAATAATATATATTTAATAACAATAGTTATAAGATAAATTTAAAATATATCGAAACTGTAATATATAACAAAGTAAAATCAATTTTCTACAATAACTTAGTGCATACATTATTTTGGAGATGTGTGTGTATACAATTTTCAATGTTAATAATTTTTAATTTTAGTTGAAGTCTTCCGTTTTATATTTTGTGGACTATATTAAGTAAATATGGCAAATGTGCCTACAATACCACCTTTGCTGAGCACCACCCCTCCGCCAATTGACTTTGAGGATGATTCCGGTTTGCCTCCCACACCTCACAATCTGGATGATGAATTTGGAGATTTTGCAATAGCTGAAGAAGAAGATCTAAATGATGATACCTTAAACGTCAATGGTAAATATGAAAATTAATTACTATGTTTAGTTCAAAAAAAAAACTTTATATTTAGTAATGTC